TGATTAAAATAATATTTAGCTGCCCTACAGAGTCCCATACAGATTCTTAAGGAAGGAAGGAAACGAACAGAACAGAACAGAACAGAACAGAAAAGGGGTCAATTTTTTTTTTAACCTGTTTCTAATTCTAGCTAATGAAAGAAAATGGAGTCCATTTCACGCTGGAAAAGCACAGGAGTCAGTGAGTCAGTCCTCCGCCAAGGAAGACGGATGTCTGAAGTCGCCCTTCCTGGGTTTTGTCCTAGAGGGAACCTCCTGCAAGCCTTGAACCCAGGGGCCCTCTCTGGGCTCTGTGCGGTTGCAAAAGGGCAGCCCGCTGTCAGAGGAGCCCACGCTCCCCAAGTTTCCAGGGCTCACCAGCTGCGTTTCCAAGTCCAGGTCTAGGAGCCCTTTGGGGTCATTTAAGCACAGGACAAAAAATGCAATGGATATTCTTCCAGAAAAGTCTGGGCAGTTCAAACAGATGTTCATACCGTTCCTTGACCACATTCTTACTAAATGTTAAATTGATAAGCACACCACTTTCTAAAGTTCCTTAATTAGCTACTTTGCTAAGAAAGCCTGCTTCTCTGAACTCATTTCATTTCCACAAAACCACCTTCACTATGCAACCCCGAGGCAACGTGAAGAAAACAATTCTCTGGTAGCCGCTCTGACACAGGATCACGTCACTGCTTTTAAACCTAGCAGCTGGGTGGTCTGCTGCCCCCACTTTGGGGTAATGATGCACCTCCCCTTCTAACCTGGAAGCCAGAAACACAAGAGTCTTATTTTATCAGCTGTCAAAAAAATGGAAAATAATTTTAAAATGGCAGGGCTCAGAAGTAATTACAGATCTAATTTGACACGTGGGTGGACTTATGGACCTGGGAAACACATGTTGTTTAGCCCGATGCAGGCACGTCTTTCAAGCAGCTACCGAAGGAGTAGGAGATGTTGGGAAAAGAGACAAGAGTGGTTTGTAACAAAAATGCGCAGCACGGAAAACATCCATGCAATTTCTGTACCTGCAACTTGGCTGGAGAGGTTTGAAAGCTATCTACGTCCACTCTGGTTACGGCACAGCTCTGGCCTTGTATGTATATGAAAATGAGCTTAAGCTAGGTTTGGTAAGCTATATTTTCTGGGTTAAATACTTATGGGGAAACAAAATAAATAGATTAAGTCCCCATGGAAGTCATCATGGGAAACACTTCAATAGTTTTTTCAGTTTTTCTCTTCCTCTCCTTGCTGAGGGAATCCTGCCCTCAGGAAAGGATAAGGGTTCCTTCCCGTGGAGAAACGCAGAGAGACCATCTGTCCAGTTTCTCTCCCCACAGATTTGATGGAGGGTTTCAAAAGGCGATCTGTGCCCAGCTTTGGCATCTATGAGCAGAGAATTCTCTTTCATGCCCTTCTGCAGAGGGGGCAAAGTTGAGAGGCAGACCTGGACATGCGATTTCACCTCTCCCCAAGATGGGTGCCGAGAAAACTCAACAGGTGTGATCTTAACAGGTACAGAGGCTTATTAACAGTAGCCACCTTCCAAAGTTTGGAACTCAGCGGAGTCTTGAGCTGTGGGAAGATCCTTCGTGAGTTTTCTTACATGATCAGCTAAGCAGTAACTTTTTGGAACAGCCAACATTCTTGGCAGGAAGAAGTGTTTGCTTTCTTTCCTTATAACCACTCTCTTTGGGGGGCACAGGCTAGTGACTGGCTGATTACTTTTTGGTTTCTAGTCCCCACCTCTTCCTTTCTTTCTGACCCTTTTCCCTTGGACCTGTCATGGGGTCCGGCTAATGCAACGTCTGGAACCTTTTTAGCCATTGGACCCAAGTTGGTTTGTAAAATAGCTGCAGTGGTGGCAAAATAAGTCAGATGGGGCTGCCAAAAAGAGACCTCAAGGACACCATGATGAGGACGTCTTTGCTGGTAGACAGAAATTCTTTATTGTGGTCACTGACCACAACAAACAAAATAAAACAACAAAGCATATACAGTCGACAACAGATGACACACACTGACATTAGCTCATTAGCCTTTGCTGATTTTCACAAACTACAGTTCATGGCTGATAAATCCTCGGTAAGCACAGCTGGCTTGGTGAGAAGTTAAAGATGGCAAATTTGGAAGTGCAAGTCAGTGTTCTTGAGACAAGGTCATAATTCACACAATCAGTATAACTTGGGTTGAGCACTTTTCTCTCCCACCTACTGTCAAGGGTCAGTTAGTGCCTAACTGGGTGGATTCTTCCAAAGGGGAGAACAGGAAGGCATGGAGTGTAACAAGCATTTATTACTAATGGACCCTTATGGGGGCTGCAGAAGTCTCCTCTCCTGAGAGAATGGTGTTGCAAGAACACGAAAAGTTTATAATCTTATATAAGTTCTTGGTCTAAATACTGAAATACTCTTCCTGTTAAATCAGAAGTTTTCAGCTACCTTGTAGCTACTGTTTCTTGGAATGCAATAAAACCATGTTCACATTTGTCCCTG